TCTCTCTCTCTCTCTCTCTCTCTCTCTCTCTCTCTCTCTCTCTCTCTGTGTGTGTGTGTGTCTGTCTATATGTTTATGTGTCTATCATTTCTTTAGTGTCTGTTTCTTCATTCCATCACTGCCCCTAGTCAGGTCAAGCTCCAAACCTCTTAAGTCTTGGCAGCAGGGTCTGTCTTTGAACCTGACCTAGGCTGGAGTCTAGAAATTCCCAGTAATCTTCCTGTTTCTTTCTCCCACAGCATAGAGTTGCAGGCACATGTAGCCATGTCCAACTTTTATGTGGGTGCTGTGGATTCGAACTCAGGTTCTTATGTTTCTGCAGCGAGCACTCTGACCCTCTCAACCATCTCTCCAGCTTCCTTCAACTAATTCTTGAAGATACCCCATTTTACCTTTAAAATTCCCTTTTCTTTAAACATCAGAAGTTTCTGGGTCCTGGAGACATCCTAGCTGTGAGGGTATCTCTATAGACCTCACAGAGGACTGTACCGGTCGCTTATTGTTACCTCTGCTGTGCCCCAGGTGTGAGTGAGGAAAACCTGGCCAAGCTGATCCAGCATGCCAATGTGCAGTCCTACAGCAGCCTCATCCGGAATCTGGAGCAGCTGGGGGGCACTGTCACCAACTCCGCGGTACGCAGGGAGCCGACGAGCCGGGGAGCCTGACCCTTTTAGGATTAGGGATGATACGTGCTCTGCTTGGATGTGCGAGCATCACACGGCATCTCAGGGACCAAGAACTCTAAGACCTTCCCTAGTTCTCTAACATGATGGGCAGTGGGGTTAAATTGGGCTCCTGGATAGTGGTACAGGGTGTGGGTAGCCTGAGTCTTCAGGGATAGGTGGGAGAATGAGTCACCGTTAATGGGAAACAGGGTAAAACTGGGGGTTCTGAAGGGATCAGTAAACTTCTCACCCCACCCAGCACGCATGGTGGTTTCCTGTGCTCCCTCCACTCTAGTCTGCCTCTCTCTCTCTAGCCTATGTGTCTGGATTGGCCAGATCCTTCTGTAACACAGGCCTATGACCTTGTATCTTGTCCCTCTCTCCATCTCCTCTCTCTCTCCCTCTCTGTCTCTCGTTCTCTTTCACACACACACATTATTATTTTGAGACACATTGCACTTTGTAGCTCAGGCTAGCCTTGAACTCACTCTGCAGCTAAGGCTGATCTTAAGTTCACTCTATAACTCAGACTGGCCTCTAATTCATGGCCATCCCGTTGTATTAGCCTCCTGAGAACCTGGGATTACAAATGTGAGCTGTCATGCCTGACCTGTCCCTTGCATCTTGCTGTTTCTGTAGCCTTTACCTGACTTACATCTTCTTTTTTGTGTTCTTTTTCTTTCTTCCCATTTCTGTTTCTTCTGTCTCCCTTTTCAGCCCTACCCCTCTGTCTCCCTGTCTTTGTGTCTGTCTCTGTATATGTGTCTGTATCTGCCTCTCTGTTTCTTTGTCTTTTCTTGACTCTATCTCTTGTATCTCTGTGTCTTTCTGTCTCTTATCTCCCATGTTTGTCTTTACCTGTCTCTCTGTCTCTCTCTACCTCTATTTCTGCCTCTGCCTGTCTGTGCCTCTCGAGCTCTCTTTGCCTCTGTCTCTCTTTGCTTTTCCTGTCTTTCTGTGTCTCTATTTCTGTCTCTGTTTTTTTCTGTCTCTGTTTTTTTCTGCTTCTTTCCTCTGTCTCTGTCTCTTCCTGCTCTATTTCTCCCTCTTTCTGTGTACCCCCATAGCCCATCTCCATCTGTGATGGCCTCCTTCCCTTCCCAATCCCATTCTGTCCCACCTGGCCCCCCTGTAGGGCTCAGGGACCTCTAGCCGGCTGGAGCGGAGAGAGCGCATGGAGCCCACCTACCAGCTGTCTCGCTGGTCCCCAGTCATCAAGGACGTGATGGAGGTACACAAGTTGGGGGCCCCTGTTTCTCTCTACTGATCCCATTAGCCACTAAACCCTCCCTCCCCCCAGGCTCTCACTGATAAGCCTTGGGGCTTAGTGGAAAATCCCTCATTATCAGCATACCCCCTGTACCCTGTCTGCTCTACAGGGTGAGGCACACAAAACTGCACCCCAGGAATTGGGGCAGCAGAGGAATTCCTTGCTTGAGACTGTAGCTTTCTCTATCCCCCGTGTTCTCCTCTAATCTCTCCTATCCTCCAGAAGCCTCTCTTATGCTGGCCCCTGGCCACTCCCACACCCCAAAGCCTCATAATCAAATAGTAATCTATCAGAGGCTCTGTCCTGGTACCTCCTGCTTGGGGACCCAGCAACCTTGCACCTTGGCTTCCTGGATTTCTGGGACCCCAAGAGACAAGGATGTGTAGACGGTGGTACTATGGCCATTTCAGTTGCTGGGCTCCACTGGCTGGGGTTCTTTAACTCTTCCTGTCTGGCCACCCAGGATGTGGTGGAGGACCGGCTAGACCGAAAGCTGTGGCCCTTCGTGTCTGACCCTGCCCCTGTGCCTAGTTCCCAGGCAGCTGTCAGGTGAGGGCCCTGGAGAGGCCTGGGTTGGGGGTTGGGAGCTGCCAGCCTGGACTGACCTCTACCCATCACCCCAGCAGTGCTCGCTTTGGCCACTGGCATAAAAACAAAGCTGGTGTAGAAGCCCGGGCTGGGCCCAGGCTCATCGTGTACATTGTGGGTGGTGTCGCCATGTCTGAAATGAGGGCTGCCTATGAGGTGACCAGGGCCACTGAAGGCAAGTGGGAGGTGCTTATAGGTGAGTAGCCAGAACTGGGGTCCTTGGGAATATGACTGTGGGGATTCTTGGGTTCTAGGGCTGGACTTGGGGTCCCTTAGAGTCTGCAGTTAGATTTAGTGTCCCCAGATGACTAAGATGTGGGGACTTGGGCTTCTTTGGAGCCTGGGGCTAGATTCTGAGTCCCTAAAAGCCTGGGGCTGGACTCTAGACTCCTTCTTTTGGGGTCCTGTGCTGGACTTTGCAGTCTATTGAGATGTAAGGCTGGACTCTGAGGTCCCTTAGGGTCTGGGCTGAACTCTGGTGTGTGAGGAGTTGGGGCTGAACTCAAAAAGTTTTGGGCTTGGGGGCAGGAGTCTAGGTCTTTGAAGGGCAGGGACTTGAGTCTCCAGTGGAGTAATCACCTTGGGCTGGACACCCATGCTCCTAAGCTTCTGAACTCCTAAATCATTGAGAAGACAGGGCCCTGGTTTGCAGGAATTAGTTCTCACCAGCCAGGTCACAAGTCAGAAGCAGCAGACTCCCAGGAGGGACCTCCGCCTCCTTTCTAACCTTCCCTCCTGCCCAGGCTCTTCTCACATCCTTACTCCAACCCGCTTCCTCGATGACCTCAAGACCCTGGATCAGAAGCTGGAGGACATGGCCCTGCCCTGACTCAGCCCCTTGCCTCTGTCCTCTCCTCCTATTCTAGAGAAATAAACTCTTTCCTCTGTCTTCCCATCAGGGCTCACCTCATTTTCTTCCCAGAGGGAGCTGTATTGAGCCAGACCCATGCCGAAGGCCTCCCATAGTTACTGTCCTGCTGGAACCTTTCCCTGGCCCACGGAAGCATCTTTAGCTTTCATGAATGCTGAGAACCTGGGCTGTAGGTTCAGTATTGGCTTGAGGTTTAGGAGGCCCCGGCTCTCTTGCTGGGTCCTCCATCCAATCTTAGCAGACACATTGCAGAGGAGATGGTAGACAGGTACAGAGCAGGGGATGACAAGGCTGCAACCCCGTCGTTACTAGAATTCTTTAGGCTGTTTGGTTAGAATTATGGAAAAAAAATTCAACCTTTATCTTTATTTTGTGTTACACTTGTGGGTATGTCTGTGCACCATATGTGGTCAGTGCCTTTAGAGGTCAGAAAAGGGTAGATGATACCCTGGAACCACTATAGATGGTTGTGAGAAGCCATGTAGGTGCTTGAGTCTGCCGCAAGGACAGCAGTCTTTTAACCACGGAGGGATCTCCAGCACCAGAGGTAGAAGTAGATAGAGTGGGGCTGAATCCTGACTCTTTCCCCTGGAACCTCCCAGGAGCTACTGCAAGTGGAGCTTGAAGCCCCAATTCCAGGAATCAGAGCCAGCATTTAATACACAGCAAACTCAAACACCAGCTCCCCAGCGCTTCTCACCCCCAACACCCAGCCTTAAGATATGCCTGTAGACTCTAATTGCAGGATTTACCAGAGTTTTTAATGGAAGTATAATTGTTCAGTAGGGCAAACATAGAAACTATTCCTAGGATCTGGATGGCTCAGAGGTTAAGAATATTTGCTGCTCTTACAGAGGGCTGGAATTTGGTTCCCAACACCCATATTGGGTGTCTCAAAACTGCCTGTAACTCCAGCTCCAGGGAATTCAGTGCTCTCTCCCTGCTTCAGTGGGAACCCAGATACATGTATACCCCCTCCCACACCTATAAACAAATAAACAAATAAATAAAACACTTCACTCTGCATGGATTAACAGGAATTTAATTACTCCACAGTTCTGGAAGCTTGGTCTTTGTCATAGGTGTTGATTGGGTGGTTTGTAGATAGATACCCTTTATTCAAGAAAGGGTATCTTGTAGTCCCAGGCTGGTCTTATTAAATAGCTAAGGATGGCTTTGAACTCCTGATTCTCCTGCCCCCCTCTTCTGAGTGCTGAGGTTACCACTGTGCAGTTTATGCAGTGCTGGGGATGAACTCAGTTCTTCATGCATGCTAAGCTAGTCCTCTTCCAGCTGAACCACATCTCCAGCCTGCAGTTGGCCATTTCTCTGTGTCCTCACAGAGCAGCAGGTGTCCCAATTTCCTCTTCTTATGTCACCACATACTGGATGAGAGCCCACCCTGTGGCCTCATTTTTTTTTACACTTAATTATCTTTAAAAAGACCTTGTTTCTAAATATATTCATCTTGAGATACAAAGGGTTAGGTCATGAGCATCTAACTCTTGGGAACAGATACAATTTAGCCCATAGCATTTGGGTAACAGGAGGTATGTTTCAGTGTGTGGATAAGACAGAGAAGGGTCCTTCTCTCTAGGGACACAGCCAGGCAGGTGTCACAGGCAAAGAGGCTATGGGGACTGGAGGCATCCCAAAGTGTTTCATCTGGAGATGGGGTAGAAGAGAATGGGAGGCTCAAGGCTGCAAAGCCAAAGGCGTGGAAGGATGCCACATGGTGCCACATGGTGAGCCAGACTGTAAAGTGTTGTCCATTGCCAAGAGCACCGGGGCTATAGAGCTTGCTTAGCAGTGCTGGGTTCTATCCCTGGCTTTAGAATAAGATTTTAATAAGGTCTGAGAACTATGTGGAATCCGGCAAGGCTGGATGAAGATTTTGTAACTGATGGGCAGTTGAACACCATAGAAGGATCCAGGGGCAGGGAGGCCAAGAAGCATGACCCAAGTGTTAGAGTGGCCTGGGCTAGAACCCAAATGCAGTCCCCCCTCTTGGGGTAATGTTTGCTTCTTTTGGGTCCTGCCTGGGTATGTGAACTATGCAGAGTTGCGGACACAGCGAGGAGTATCCTTTTGATTTCTCAGAAAAGTTGAGAACGCGAGCCTTGGGATTCTAATCAGATTGTCTGGAGCCCAGCTCAGGATAGAAAGATCATGAAATTTGTGGGATGAATTAGTGTGAAGAAGGAAATGGTTCGTCACAGGACACACTCCCACCCCCGACCAGCTGTCCTGGATTCAGTGCTGAAGGGACTGATGTTACATAGGGTGACCGTCCTGCTCTGTAGCTCAGGCTGGCCTGGAACTCTATTCTTTTGCCTCAGGTTCTGAAGTGCTGGAGTTGTCTGGCATGGGAGGTAATTCTAAAGTTTAAAAGTAAACTCTAAGATCCCTGGCAGCAAACTGCTGTTTCTCTCTGGGATCTATTTGTGTCGTTAAGCGAGTTGAGCACCAGGGGATGCTGCGGCTCAGTTTTCGGGTTTCTTTGTTCATTCCAAATTGTAACCAGAGCTTGGGTGACCTAATTATCAGAGAAGCCTGGGAAGTGGGCTAAGGATTATTTGGTGGTTCTCAGCAGAAACAAAACTGTTGCTTAAACCACTCTCACCTTTCCTTTAAAAAAAATTGTTTAAAACAAAACAAAACAAAAAACTCATCACACTGTGTAGTCCTGGCTGGCTGGCACCATGTGGACCTGGCTAGCTCCCGGTGCTGGGATTAACGGTGTGCCCCACTACCGCTGGCCACATCTGATGATAGCCACATGAAGTAATGTGTCTGTCTTGGGGTTACTACTGCTGTGATGGAATATGGTCAAGCGCAATTTTGGGGAGGAAAGGGTTTATTTCACTCAGTTCCATGTAACAGTTCATCATCAAAAACAGTGAGGACAGGAACCCAAGCAGGGCAGGAACCTGGAGGTAGAAGCTGATGAGGCCATGGAGGGTGCTGCTTACTGCTTGCTCAGACTGTTCTTACAGAACCCACAACCACTACCCCAAGGGTGGCGTCACCTACAGTGGGCAGGGCCCTCCCATATTACTGATTAAGAAAATGTCCTACAGGCTTGCCTTCAGCCAAATAGAGGCCTTTTCTCAGTTGAGCCTCCCTTCTCCGATGACTCTTGTATCAAGGAGACATAAAACTAGCCAGCACAGTGTCTGTGCTACCAAACACAAATATTGATTGTGCAAGTATTTATTGCTTTCTGTGCCTTCTGTATCAGCTGAGGTTCTGGCAAACCTCCCGCATTACAAAGAATCTTAAGACCCTCTTTATGAGAATAAAATGCCCACTCTTGCTTTCTGTGTTATGTAGGTATACTATTCAGGGGGACTTCTTCTGACCAGCGACACTTTGTTCCTGCCCCAGGCCTTTGCACCTGTTACTTCTACCTGTTACTTCCCCTTAGCTCAAGTGCCACCACATTATCATTACTTGTTACATGTTCTTTGTTGTGCTTTTCCTGACCTATGGCTTCCTTGGCACCACCCATAATGGATCTTCCAGCATCTGTGGATCCCCACCCTTGCCTCCTTCCAGTCTTCCCTGAAACAGAAGCTTAGAACCACAGTATCCATTTTAATTTGGTTTAGTGGTTAGTAGCCTGAAAACTGATATGCTTGCTAGATCTTTCCTCTTGCCCCACAACAAGGGATCTGTGTTGTCTGCAAGGATGCCCCTTGCCCTCATTCTCTCCAGGTAAGATGTTAGACAGGGCTATAGGCATGACTTAGCAGTAGAGTGCTCCCCTAGAAAGGGGCTGGGGATGTGGCTCAGAGATAGAGCCTCTGCCTCGGATCCAGTAGTGAGAGAGTGGGAGTGGGCCTCAGTAGTATAGCACTGGCCTAGCACATTTAAGGCCTTACTAGTACACACACCAGAGAGAGAGAGAGAGAGAGAGAGAGAGAGAGAGAGAGAGAGAGAGAGA